GAATTTAAAATATAGCAAGCAATTTAAGTGGACTCTTCAGTGTGAGTGGGCATAGAAAAGCTCAGTCATAAAGCTTACTCTCTAGTAAATCACCTTGTAAGCTTGAAAGAAAACCATTCTCATTATTTAAAATATTATACATTGATTTAAATTCTTAGGAAATAACATCCTGTTACTGTTTAATGTGTTGTTAGCCCTAAATGCATATCTACAGACTCCTTAAAATCAAGAAATTGAAGCTTGAGGTATTTGTTTTCAAAAAAGTTTAAAATTTTATTTACTGTACAGTAACTTCTAAAAATGAATTTATTACCAAAATCTTTCTTTAAAGGAAACATTTTTAGTGCAGTTCAAATTTAGATCTTTCTTACATTGACAGATCATATAGTCTACATTCCATATTATATACATCTAGATGATGTGAAAAATGTAAAGTAAGATAAATTGAGTGACTTGGGCAAGGTATATTCTCTTTTGAAATTTGTTTCATCATATGGAAAAAGGACCAAGTATAATAAATCAGTATCTTATATCATATTTTTTTAGCTCTGACATCTTTAAATCCAAGGATATTCTCTTTTTTTTTAGACAGACTTTATTTAAGATATAAATGTTAGTGGCGCCTGTAGCTCAAATGGTAGAGCGCTAGCCTTGAGCTGAAGAGCTGAGGGACAGCAACCAGGCCCAGAGTTCAAGCCCCACGACCGACCAAAAAAAAAAAAAAAAGATATAAATGTTATATTCTTTGTGCTTTTAAAATCTGTGTTTCTGTTGCTTTTATAAATGTTTCCACAAATTAAAGGATTAATCAATTTAATGTTTTTTTTTTCTCTCGAATTCAATATTATACTATTTAGATCTTCTGAATTTTCTTATTTAGAGCTAAGGTCACAAACATTGGTTAAAATTTTGAATAGTCATCTTTTATCTACTCATTATTTCTAGTCTTCTTATCTCTACAAGTCAGAAAAGAATCTTGATCATTTTCTCTTACGTGAATTAACTCTAGGTATCATAAGCATGAGCACATTCTTATTCGTTTCAGCTAAACCCCACTTTTCAAAGTTAAATCCTGTTTTTCAGAGCTCTTTAAATGAACCAACAAGCTTGTTAAGGCAGTTAATATTCTGGATGAATGATGAAGATACAGAGGAATCCTTTCCCTTTTATAAAAGCTCATTATCACTAATGGTTTAGATTATACTTTATAGATGATTTAATTGGTAACAAGGGGATTTTTAATTTATTATTGGTTTGATGGTGAAATTCCTGAATGTCAAGCCCTAGGTTTCATTCTTTTAAGTTCATGTTAACCTCATTATAAAGATACTTGGAGTTTGCAAGCTCTTATCTCCATGTCATGATTGTATGGCTGACTTGGGAGATGCAGATCACTTAGCATCTGGGGACCATTTGTATAACATGTCATATTAGACTTTAGATCTAAAGGATAATTTGGTGGAGGAAGGCAGGTTTTGGAAAAGAAAAAAAAAACCTTTTGTAACACAAATTTCTGAGGCTCATACATACATCTTTTTTTGTGGACTTCCATTTAAAATATTACTAGCTTTTTAAAGTCCAGGTTATAACCAAAAAGCATTCTTGAAAGTAATTTTCAGATACCATTTCCTTGTGCTAAAATAAGTGGCATTTTCATGGCTCCATATTAGAAAAACAGATCAAGTTGTGATTATCTTGAAAGCCTCTTACCAGACAAAATAGGAAGATGGACATATCCTTAAATCACACTTCTTTGAATTATATTGAATTACATATAATTTTGGGATTGACTTTTGTAGCTGTATTTTATAAATAATAACTGAAATATTAGAACAAAATAAACTTACGGGACTTAGTCACACCCTAGATTTTTAAATATTCCTATTTTTTTTCTCCACTTTTAGTATTTTTTTTTTTTTTTTTGGTCGTTCGTGTGATTTGAACTCTGGGCTTGGGCACTGTCCCTGTACTCTTCAGCTCAAGGCAAGCGCTCTACCGCTTGAGCCACAGCACCACTTCCAGTTTCCTAGTGGTTTATTGGAGATAAGAGTCTCACAGATTTTCCTGGCCGGGCTGGCTTTGAACTGTGATCCTCACATCCTAGCCTCCTCAGTAGCTAGCATTACAGGCATGAGCCACCGGCGCCCGGCAAATACAATTTTTTACCTAGGACATAAAGTCATTTTCTTGATAGCCTATACAAAAAAGATACAGCTGTTGTCTGTCAGGTTAACAAATACAGCTTCCAAAATATTGATCTGTGCCCATGTGAACTTTTCAGGTGGACTTCACCTAATTTAAAGGCCTTTTCCCTTTTAGTTCCTTATTGCTTGGAACTCAAAATGTTATATAATGTCCTGTGACACCGTTTATCATTTCCTCCCTTACCAAGCTGCCTTACTATTGGGAAAAAAAAGTACTTAAGATGAAGGGTTCTGAAACAGTGACATGGTATAATGGAGACAGACATGGTCTAGGAGAACTTGGATCAACCATGATAGGGTTAGATTTATAATCTTAGGAATATCTCTTTATTAAGACCTCTTCAAAGTGGCACTGTGGCTCATGCGGTAGAGTGTTCACCTTGAGCCGAAGAGCGCAGGGACAGCACCCAAGCCCAAAGTTCAAGCACCACGACCGACCCCCAAAAAACAAACAAACAAACAAAAAACCCTCTTCATTAGTTATCTAATGTAGAAAACCAGAAATCTGGATTAATGTTCTCTGATCCAAAAACTAGTTTTATAGTTAATTTTTTTCTCAAAGCCTTTAAATAATGTTAGTGAAAAATCAGAAATTGACATATTAGTAAATATTAATAGGTACTTTCCAATGTTTAATAACTTCGTTACTTAAAAGAAAACTTTTCCCCCAGTGTCAGAAGGCTGAGATCTCAGAATCGTGGTTCAAAGCCAGCCCAGGCAGAAATGTCCATGAGACTCTTAGATCCAATAAAACTACCAGAAAACCGGAAGTGGCACTGTGGCTTAAGTGGTAGAGTGCTTTCCTTGAGCTGAAGAGCTAAGGGACAGCACCCAGGCCCAGAGTTCAAGCCCTGTGATCAAAAAAAAAGAAAAAGAAAAAAGTAAAGGAAATTTTGTTCCCTCAATATTTTGGTCAAACCACCATTTACAGCTCTCTTAATCATATATCTAGTTGTACATTGTAGTTAGATGGAACACTAAGTCCATTAATAAATCCTAAAATTTTAGTCCTTCCTGTACCCTTATTTCTCAGTCAGTGGTGTTTATACAATATAAACATAAATGTGTTATGATGGGCCTGTTTTATTTCTTGGAAGTAAAATTTGGACATATGGCAGTCTGAAAGAAGTGAAAATATAATAAATATTATTATGATTTTTATATCAATATATGATACTTGAGATTTCACTTTTATAAAAATTACAACTCTTCTGAGTATAGTTTTCTCTCATCTGTAAAATGTGGCCCTTGAATCTGACATATTACAAGAATAAAGTGCAACTTCAGTAGACATTATAATACTGAAATCCCAGTGATTGTAGGATAATTAAACTTCCTCCGTTTGAGCATTTAGATGTGCCATTTATATGCTCAATGTTGGATTTGTTTCTGTTTTTCTTGACTTTTATCTATGTCTACTTCAGTTTTCCATAGCTGTCAATCTCTGTGTCAATTACAAAATTTTGGCTAGCAGTAGAAGATAGTGCATGTCTTTTAGAACTTGAATAAGAACTTAAAATTCCATCTAAGCTATTTTTCTACAACTTTAAAAACCTTCACAATTTTATAGTAACTTCCATGAAGAAAATCTCTAACCTAGTAAACAGGACTTGTTTTCTTTTAAACAGATGTATTGCTTTGATGTTTTATTATATCTGATTATTATTTTAAGTGTGAACAATAGGCCTGGTACTGGAAAGTACAGCCATGTCTTTGCTTACTCCAGAGAAAGCTATTAAAACTGGCAAGAATTTTAAGTTCGAAATGACATTTTATAACATTTCTAATGTAGATATAATATAAACCAGGTTGGTTTGGGAAGGAGTTAAGATGTAGTGAAAGAATCCAATCAACCTCATTTATGGAACACCCAGCCACTGTGGGGATTATACAAAAGGTCTCCATTTCCAGATGTGCAAGGTGTTCAGGAGCTTCTCATGTGGGATTTACAGCTTTATTGAGATGTAACTCACATACCATACAATTTTCCATTTAAAGTATACTCTTCAGTGGTTGGGTGTGTTTTTTTTGGGGGGGGGGGGGGGACACAGGGGAGCTCACCTGGGTGGTGCTGTCCCAGAGCTTCTTTTTGCTCAAGGCCAGCACTCTACCACTTGAGCTCTGTTTCCAGCTTTTGGTTGGTGATAGGGGGAGGGAAAGGAGAGTAGTTAACTAGAGATAAGTCTCACAGACTTTCCTGTCCCAGCTGGCTTCAAACTGTGATCCTTACATTTTAGCCTGCTGAATAGCTAGGATTACAGATGTGAGCCAGTGCCTAGTTGTGTGTGTGTGTGTGTGTGTGTGTGTGTGTGTGTGTGTATGCCAGTAGTGAGCCAGTGCCTAGTTGTGTGTGTGTGTGTGCCAGTAGTGAGCCAGTGCCTAGTTGTGTGTGTGTGTGTGTACATGCCAGTAGTGAGCCAGTGCCTAGTTTGTGTGTGTGTGTGTGTGTACATGCCAGTAGTAGAGCTTAGGCCTGGATACTGTCCCTTAGCTTTCTCGCTGCCTCTCTATCACTTAAGCAGAGCAGTCAGAGCTCTACTTCCAGCTTTTTGCTAGTTATTTGGAGATCAAGAATTTCACAGACTTTCCTAAACTGGCATTGAACCACAATTCCTAGATCTCATCCTCCTAGGATTAGGGGCAGGAGGGTCGCAGGGGTGCCTGGCCTAGAAGCTACTTTTATAAAGATAAGTTACACATGTTACTCTGATCAGCAAATTTAAAAGAATTCTTCATGACTTCTTTGAAATTTGAGTTTAAAATGAATATCCTCCTGTCTTTGTGTTTATTATGTAGAGAATAAGGGGAATCCACGCACTTGAAACATGAGTTCAGATACCAGTGAAGGTGTGATCACTACTCCTCCTCCTCCCAGCATGCCTCACAAAGAGAGATACTTTGATCGAATTAATGAAAATGACCCAGAATACATACGAGAGAGGAACATGTCTCCTGATCTACGACAAGACTTCAATATGATGGAGCAGAGGAAACGAGTTACTCAGATTCTTGAGAGTCCTGTGAGTTGAAATAATTATAAACCTATAATTTTTCTATGGAAACTTGGTTATGAAGTGGGAGCTACCTGCAACTACGTGGGTTAAAATAAAAAAGTGAGTGAACTATTTGCTTAATGGGTAAATTGGTACCTAATTTATATATTTGCTTTGCAAAGATTTATAACATTTATGTTAAATAATATTCATCTTTGTGTGTTTTCTGGATATAATGTTTCATTAAAGAAGATAGTTTCACTGAACTTAAGGATACCCAATTCAGATTGATATCTATGAAAGGAAGAAAGGCTTAAATCATAGAAACCAAGAACTAAGGCATATTCCATGGGCGTATTTTCTTCTTTCTTTGAGTAGCTTTTTACTCTGAGAAGCTTAGAAAAACAAAGATTTTGGATTTGCCATCAGATTCTTAGTTCCACTGTCTGAATTATCCTTCTTTTCCTGAAAGGTAGTCTGTTTTCAGACTCATTTTTCTCTGCAGTTCTCTCTGCCTACTTCTTATAGAGGGTTTTAGAAGTCCAAAGTCTTTGTAATGATCTGCCTTCTTCTTATATAGGGTTTTAAAAGTCCAAAGTCTTCTTTTTTCTTTTGTAATGACTTTGTTCTTTTCAGCCCAACTTTTCAGTGTGCCTGTCAATAAAATTCTCTTTAAAATTTTGTAGATCTGCTATAAATTTTGGAGCTATTTTATTAGACAAATCTGTAACCAGTAAAGATTAATATAAAAATATTGCTAGTTCATGTTCATAAGTTACAAATTTAGGCCATCTATTTAAAATCTCAATTATTTGAAAAGAAAGAAAATCAGGAACTAGTAAAAGCAAAGTGCATTTTTTATTAAACAGTTACTGTGTGACAGGAACCTATTACACATATATGATGATCCCTATTTTACAGATGAATAAACTGAACCTTAGACACATTAAATAACTTGCTAAATGTTTTGCAGCTTTGTTAAATGATAGGGTTCGAATTTTAACTCCAGAACACAGTCTTTTTTTTTTTTTTTTAAGGTGAGTTTGGAACATTTATTAACTTTGTTTTAACATTAATTTAACTTTAAGTTAATATAATGTCACTTTAAATACTTGCTGTGTTTTTTTTAATTGTGAAAATACTGTATAGAAGGGTTACAATTACATGGGTAAGATAATGAGCACATTTCTTATCAAGCATTGTAGTCTCCTCCTTTGTTTCCCCTTCCCATCCCTTCATATCTTCCCCCCTTTCCCCCCCACAAAAGTCAGAACACACATTCTCAACCACTTATATTATTCAATAACAGTGACAAAAATTTTATATTCATCAAATTCTGTTACTCAAGTTAATTCAACAGACCCCATGAAGAGTTTCTCATCACAAGACACTTTTATTTCAATACAAATTTGGATAACAAAATATTTTATACTTTGACCTTAAAAATAAAAGTAAAAGCTGTGGGCACCCATGGCTCATATGTGTAATCCTAGCTACTCAAGAGGCTGAGATCTGAGGATCGTGGTTTAAAGCCAGCACGGGCAGGAAAGGCTGTGAGACTCTTATCTCAAATAAACCACTCAGAAAACTGGAAGTGGTGCTAGTGTTAGAGTGCTAACCTTGAGCTGAAGAGCTGAGGGACAGCGCCCATGCCCAGAGTTCAAGCCCCATGACCGACCAAAAAAAAAAAAAGTAAAAATTAATTTGTCTTATTGGCCCCTCCGCAAGAAGTATTACTTATTCTTTCTATTAATCACAGCTCTTTTCATGTTAAAATTCTTATAAAAGAATTTTCTTAGAAATCAAGCACTAGTCTAGCTTAAGATTATGGATTCCGTAGACAGAATTCATAAATTGTCTTTGATCAATGTATTCTTCTCTTCTAATGCCTGTGGAGACCCTAGATTATAATTTACCACCTTTTCTCTAAATGAATTATTCAGGACAAGCTGTTGGAATTATATGATGGTTAATCAAAGTTAAAAATTATATAACTGGAAGCAAATATTGAACATAGTAGAAGTTTAGCAAAATGTGAATAACTTGAGTGGACTTCGAATATTCAAGCACTCTAGTATGATTCAACAAGCTTCTACTGAACTTCACTGCTTCAAATGGAAAATGGCTGGTGGATTTCTTATACCTTACCACAATAGGAAATGATCTGTCTTGTTGACACATCTGCAGTATAATTCAGAAAAAAGAAGACAACAGGAATATATAGGCATAGGAAGTATTCGTCAGCCATTTGACACACTAGCATTTTAAGTACCAGAACAATATTTAATGCCATAAACTTATTTCAAAAGTAAGGGGGACTTCAAGTTATAAACATTTTAAGATATAATTGTAATTAAGGCCTAAGTGATACATGCCTTAATTAGAACATTAGTCAAAATTTTGCCTTGTGATGGTTAAAATGTGTTTGTGACTTTTAAGTATGACTATCCCACAATACTGTGAAATTTATATAATCACTTAATCTCAATAAAAAATTATTTTAAAAAATTAGTCAAAATCAACATGATCACTTTGGCCACTTACAAAGTTTAAGATATAAATATTCTTTAATAACTCTGTTTTTATTTTTATTATATGCCAGCTTCAGGAAAAGTTCTATTCTAACCTGTAACTTCATATTTAGATTTGAATACAGAAGAAAGACCATCCTGAAGAAAATTTGGTTTATTTGTTTTTTCTCCTTTCAACAGGGCCAGTCGTAATGTATTTCCAAATGAATACATTTCTTAATGGAGAAATTCTAAGTAAGTTTGTTATGCTCCTAATCCCACTTTAGGAGAGATCTAATAACACTATTGCAGAGTGCCTTGGGAGCAGCAAGCTTATAATCCTTTTTTTTTTCTTTTTGCCCCAATTTTCTTCTCTAGTAGTTATGAAATAGAGCATCCAGATTTGATACCTAAAATTTATTTCTGATATTGATCAGTATTATTCAAATTTCCTATGGTAGACATTAAAATATGACTGATTTTTTAAAAATTTTATTAGCTGAAATAATTGCGTCAGGTTAGCTTATTTTTATCAAATTGGCCCTCTTTCTGTGACTTTCTCCTGAAAATTCTGATCTTAGATAGAGAGTTTAAGACTTGAAGTTTATCGTACCTTATGAATTCAAAGTTGATAACCTCACTCAGCATTGAACAAAATATATAAAATGAAAGGATGAAAGATTCAAATAAGGCTTTTGAGGCATCTTGCCTCCAACCTAAAACATTTTTTCACATACAGAATTTTTATTATGGAAGTGGCGTTGTGGCTCAAGTGGCAGAGCACTCACCTTGATCTGAAGAGCTGAGGGACAGCACTCAGGCCCAGAGTTCAAGCCCATGACTGACAAAAAAAAGAATTATTGTTATATATTATTATCATTTGTATTATATTTTTATATTTTACTATATGTCTTATGAGAGAACTTTGCTTAAATTGTAATACCCTGGGGACAAGCTTAAGTTTTCAAGTAGGATTTTGAGTTGAAATATTAAATAACTTTAAATTTTTATAACATTTAATGAATATGAATTTATAAAATAATTTCTCCCAATAGATGATGGACAGTTGTTGCTTAATTATTGTACAGGAGAAATTTTTCATTTGCATGCACTTAAAAGACTTTTCTAACAACTTACAGAATGAATTTTTTATCATTCAGTCAAGATTGCAACCACATTTTTTTATTTTCTTTATAGCTAGGAAAATTAAAAAAGGAACACCAGCTTATTTCATTAATTGAATTTAAGTATACACAGAAAAATTTGGAAATGTAAAAGATATAGTGTCAGTCATCAAATATTACATGTAGAACAAATAGATTATCAATGGCAATTATATGACAGATATCCTAAGTGTATTCAGTAAAATGTGAAACAAGTTCATAATTGGATGTGTAAGAGAAGAAATGTGGTTACGCCTCCTAACTGGAGTAATTAAGAGAAACTTCAAAAAGAAGTGGTATTTAAGACAAGTGTTAAAAGGAGGAAGGAGAACAGTAGAAGCCATTGCCTTCGTTATATTAAATAGAATGAACGAGCAGAGAGAAGTACTGGTTGTGATTAACAAATGCTGGACACTGGTGGCTCATACCTATAATCTTAGCCACTCAGGAGGCTGAGATCTGAGGACCACGGTTTAAAGCCAGCCTAGGAAGGAAAGTCTGTGAGACTCTTATCTCCAGTTAACCACCAGAAAACCAGAAATGGTGCTGTAGCTCAAAGTAGTAGAGTGCTAATCTTGAACAAAAATTGCTCAGGGACAACCCTTAGGTCCCAAGTTCAAGCCGCACAACTGACCAAAAAAAAAAAAAAAAAAGAATGCTGGGTAACTTTGTAGGGCAGAAAGGCATGGGGTAATAATGGTGATAAAACCTCAAAATTATGTAACAAAGGTGATAGAGACCCCTAATGCTAAATTATTTTGATCTAATTAAGGCTCAACCCATTTTCCCATTATTTTTCAGTTTAAATTTTGTATTAAAATACATAAAGCTGGTAGCTCTGGTAGCTCACACCTGTACTCCTACTGTAAGTTACTGAGGATCGGGTTCAAAGTCAGCCAGAAAAGTCCATGGGACTCTTATTTCCAATAAACTACTTAGAAAATGCCAGAAGTGGTGCTATAGCTCAAGTGATAGAGTACTAGCCTTGAATACAAAGAATCTCAGGGTCAGTGCCCAGGCTGAGCCCCAGGACCAGCAAAAAAAAAAAGAACGGCCTGCCAGTGGCTCACACCCGTAATTCTTACTACTCAGGAGGCTGAGATCTAAGGATTGTGATGCAAAGCCAGCCCTGGCAGGAAAGTCCATGAGTTTCTTTATCTCCCAAAAACCTGGAAACAACTGTGGCTTAAGTAGTAGATGCTAGCCTTGAGCAAAAAAGCTCAAGGACAGCACCCAGGCCTTGAATTCAAACCCATTACACACATGAAAAAGTTTTAATACACATTGATACGCAGAGCTTGTTTTGAATATAAGTTCACATCTTGCCTCATCTGCCACTTACTACCTCCTTGACATTAGGAAATTATGTAAGTTGCACATCAGTTTCCTATTTGTGAGATGGGAAACTTGCTTCACACTCCTGTGGCAATAAAATGAAATAACATAAAGCATGTGCCTAGCTCACAATAGGCAACTACTTCGTGAGAACTGTATATCTAAATTACCAATTTAGGTATTTAGCCACTAGGCACCGGTAGCTCACGTCTGTAATCCTAACAACTCAAGAGGCTGAGATCTGAGCAGAAAAAGCTTAGAGAAAGTGCCCAGGTCCTGAGTTCAAGCTCCAAGATGGACCAAAAAAAAAGGATATGCTTTCATGGCAATACTTTGAAGATTAAAATTGTAATTCCATAGACTGTATTTTGCTTTTTAAAGAGTTTAAAGAACATGTCATCCCAGTAGCACACAGCTTGTCATGTTATTCATAAAATGTAATAGCCTCCTGTGCTTGCTCTTTTTTTTAATGTTTTTTATTTTAAAAATAGTGTAGAGAGGGGTTACAGTTACATGAGTAAGGTAATGAGTACATTTCCTATCAAGTGTTGTTACCTCCTCCTTTGTTTATCCCCTACAATCCCTTTCCTCCACATCTCCCCAACTCCCCGCCCCCAAGTTGTAAAGTTCGTTTTCAGCAGTGTCTTGTACATGTACTTGCTCTTCTGTGCTCTTCTCTCTCAGAGAAGGAAGACATGGTTTTTCGTAGTTTTGTATGTGTATTTGTGTATCTTTAACTTGATCCTACTGTAGTGGCTACTCCAGAAAACTACTGACTAATCCAACTGCAGCATGTGATTTTACCATCCTGCTTATAAACTTTAGCATGTGATTTTACCACCCTCTTATAAATTACTTCTCTTTTTAGTTTTTTTTTTTTGCCAGTACTGGGACTTGAACTCAGGGATTGGGCGCTGTCCCTGAGCTCTTTGTGCTCAAGGCTAACACTCTACCACTTGAGCCACATAGCACCACTTCTGGCTTTTTCTAAGCAGTTTATTGGGTAAGAGTTGCACAGACTTTTCTGCCCTGGCTGGCTTTGAACCACTATCCTAAGATCTCAACCCCTTGAGTAGCGAAGGATTGTAGTCATAAGCCGCCACCACCCAGCAAGAGGGCACATATTTAGCCTGCTAAATATTTATCCATAATCTGCTGCTGTATAATTGTATTTGCTTTATCTACCAAACAACCAAATGCTATAATGTAGCCGAAAATTTTACTCAATATTTCTGATCACAACATAGCTACTGCCTTATATTTGATTTCAACTCATAAAACTAAGGAAAATTTTTGTGCCCAATTGAAAGCCAGATTAGAATCTTTATTCCATTTACTTATCGCTTTGCAGCCTTGAGTAAATTATTGCCTGTTGCAAGACTTGTTGTGAGAGTCAAATGAATCAACTAGTGTTTTACACTAGATTTTTATAGAAATGTGATTATTCATCACAAAGATAAGTGTTTATTAATACTTTAAAGCTTAGTAAATTTACTGACAATTTTTAAGTCATCTGAAGGAATTTATATTAGTTTATTCTTCTTTATTTGGATACTTAACCTGAACAATATTTCAAAAATATGTAAAACAAAATATGAGTTATAAATGTTCTTAAAATTAAACCTTTTGCACTACAAGAATTACTAGCAAGCCTGGCTCATGCCTGTAATCCCAGCTACTCAGGAGGCTGAAATCAGAGGATTTCGGTCCAAAGCCAGCCTGGACAGGAAACTCCGTGAGACTCTTTATCTCCAGTAAACCACTTAGAAAACTGGAAGTGGTGCTATGGCTCAAGTGGTAGAGCTCTTGCCTTGAGCTGAAGAGATGAGGGACAGCGCCCAGGCCCAGAGTTCAAGCCCCATGACCGACAAAAGGAAAAAAAAAAAAGAATTATTAACGGTTAAAGCATTGTCTTAAAAGGCTGGGGAAAATTCATTTACTTTGAAAATTATTTTTTATTTCTGCATAGGGGCCACCTAGTCTTAATTGATTTTGGAAGGGCTTTCTTGTTTCTCTATGACACAATAGATATCCCAAAGCTTCAGGGTAGTCCTTACTATATTATAGAATATAGAGAGGTGAAAGCATTTTTTACTAACAAAAAATAATTGACCTGTTTCCTTATATCTGGCATTTGCTATATGACCTTGAGTAGATTTTCAGCTTTGCTTAGTTAACTTTGTCATTCACCCTAAGGAAATTTCTCATCTGATTAATAAATAATTGTGACTAGCTTAGGCAACTGTTGCTTTTGAATCATAAAGCCATTGTAAATTAGCACACTACATAGGTTGTTTTGATTCATGTTGGCTTGAAGATTAAGATCACATTTAGCAAATGTCTAACAAATACGTATTCATGTCATTTAGTATCTTAACCTTCTTTCTGTCTCTAGCTTACCTCCTTGGGCTTACTTTTCTCTTAAGCTTGATTTTTCTTACCTATATTTAATTATTTTTATTTTTAAATCATTTTAACCTATAGACGCTGCCTTAAATTCTTGTTCTTCTAAGAAGAACAACATGAGCCCAGGGCATTTAATAAAACAGATAGTGCCTACCTTTCAGAGCCATTGTAGTGTATGTAATGAGTGTTATGCATAGCAGACATCATTAATTGTGGTTATAGGCTCTTTGAATTGAAGAAAATTTAAATAGTTTCATTTTAAAGGGAAACTAAAGCTTCAGAAGAACAGATTGGCCTGTTGCCATGTGGTCAGAAACTTTTCCATAAAAAAAAAAAAGAGGATATCTGGAGATTCTTCTCCTTTTAGCCATAATCATAGTAAGATATACATGTTACTCATCTGTAACATGAAGGCATCTATCCATCTTAGACACAGCTTTTTGTTCACAGGGTCCTGAATATTAGTGGAATTTTGTGATAAATGTAATATGTCTTTGTAGGGGATATTTTATGGTACAATTTCTCTATTTCAATCATATATGTAAATGACTTAGATATACTTCTAAGAATTAGATTTTTAATTGCTGTAGTTACTAATGACTTACGTATAACATACCTTAAATTTGGAAAACAAAAATAACTCGTATAAATTGCTCATGAGCTCAGAATTCAAATACGTTCACAAGTTATACTTTTTTTAATTACTCAGCTATCTACCTGTCTTGTTAGTAGAAAGTATAGCATCTTCATTTTGAATGTTCTTTCCCTGAATAGTCCCAAGGACTCCAGAAGCTTATACATTTCCTGAGAGCTTATCAGTGGCTTTCATGTCTAAGATGTGGTATATGATCTGTGTACATAACACCTATGTTTGCAACAAAGAGATATACTACAATGCTGGGTGCTGGTGGCTCATGCCTGTAATCCTAGCTACTCAGGAGGCTGAGATCTGAAGATTGCGATTCAAAGCCAGCCTGGACAAGAAAGTCCATGAGACTCTTATGTCCAACAAACTACTCAAAAGAGTAGTGGCACTGTGGCTCAAGTCATAGAGCACTCACCTTGAGCAAAAGACAGGGACAATGCCCAGGCCAACTTCAAGCCTCAAGACCAGCCAAAAAAGTTAGGGCGGGGGGCACAGGGAGAGACTACAGTCTATTCAACCTATCCATACCAGTGTACTTTCTTGCCTCATAGTTCAGGCCACCATGGTACATCAGAAAGGATATAGTCTTCCTTTGTTAATAAGCTCAGTTTGGATGCTCCATGAAATCTGGTAGTTGAACTTTAGCACCAAGCTCATTCATTCACCGTCACAGATACCTCTCAACTGTACTCTAAGAGTAGCACAAGTCAGGTCTGATCCTAACATCTGTTGCTTTCTAGCCTTGACAGTATTTCCCCTTTCCATCCTGGGATCCTAGGCCATTATCAAACAAAGAAAGTTCTGGACCTCTGAGATATTGCAAGCACATCTAAATAAGGACCCCAATAGATCTTATTTCCACTATTGTAAAGAAGACTACTGTCATTTTCTCAAAAGAGATTCTCCTTTCTCGAGAACTTTCTTAGGGAGGTTTCTCCAGTGATTTCCAATGTGTTCATATCTATACCTCTTTCCAGTAGTGATTTCAAAACATTTTTCTGTCTTCTCCCTTTTTAGGTGAAGGGGGGAATTTTTAATTTAATTTCTAGCAGGAAATTCTGACATACATATAATCTCAAACAGAAGAACAGGATTTGACTAGCTTTCAGATTACAAGAACCTTTATGTTTAAAATAAATGAAATTTGGCTGGCTACAGCCATGGTTTAAGCAATATCTGCAAGCAAGAAAGCTGAGCAAAAGCACAAGGTCTTGAGCTCAAGCCCTTGTACCAGAACCAAAAATAGATAAAAATAAAACAGGGCTGGGAAGGTGGCTCAGTGGTAGAGCGCTTGCCTTGCATGCATGAGGCCCTAGGTTCGACTCCTCAGCACCACATAAGCAAAAAGAAAAATGCCGGAAGTGGCGCTGTGGCTCAAGTGGTAGAGCACTAGCCTTGAGCTGAAGAGCTGAGGGACAGTGCCCAGGCCCAGAGTTCAGGCCCCACGACCAGGCCCCCCCCCCCCCCAAAAAAAAGAATAAAAACTAAATGAAGTAAATTGACATGACAGTGAACAAATGGTAAATTTACTAAAATAATGGTGGTTATATGTGATAAAAAGATAACCAACTATTTTTTGTGTTTTGTATTTGTAAATAATGTGGGTAAAACTTTTTCACAGAAGGTTTAGGAAATGATTATTTCATAGCAAGTTTGGTCCATTCTATTCAGGTGAAATATATGTATTCATTGGTTATTTTTGTTGTATTGCAGGCCTTTCGGGAAGACTTGGAAAGCCTTATTCAAGAACAGATGAAGAAAGGCCACAACCCAACTGGATTACTAGCATTACAACAGATTGCAGATTACATCATGGCCAATTCTTTCTCAGGCTTTTCTTCATCTCCCCTCAGTATGTTAGTTTTGAAGAGTATAGTTTTGTCTTCTACTTTGGAATATTGTACTTCTCTAGCAGCATATTTTGCTTAAATTCAGCCCTTAGGTTTAGAACATCTAGTATTTAACATAGTAGCATAGTGTTATCATCTCTTTTTCATACAGGCACTTACTAGACCTTGCATGGATTATAAAATCATATATAACATGGTCTCAGATTCAGATAAATGTATTTTAATTAGTCAGAGGAGATAACGATAGAGAAAAATATTACAATATAGTTCATAAGAAATTTTCTTGTGCTACTCTTAGAATACAGTCATCATGCTATGAGCTTAGAATTTGAGTGGATTGCTATCTACTGTCAGAAGTAGAATGAGGAAATGTAGTGGAAAAGACCTTCCGTCCTTCAGGCTTTGAAGGATGGAATAATTAGAGCTTGTTGAAAAAAATGGGTTTGGATGTTATATTCAGTCAACCAATCTTTTGTGAATGTACCAATTAGAGCTAAACATTCTACAGATGCAGAGATCTTAAGTTCTTACCTCTGCTATGCGATATATACAGAAATCTATACAGATATCTACAGAAACCTGTGCAGAGACAGGTCAGAATGCCAGAGACCACTTCAGGTCATATTCAAGGGGTAAGGGTTTTTCCTTTCCTTTCACTTGTGCCCTTTTTGTAAGAGATTGGCAAGTAGGATTTTTTTTGGGGCGGGGGGGGGGGGTCCGGTCGTGGGGCCTGAACTCTGGGCCTGGGCGCTGTCCCTCAGCTCTTCAGCTCAAGGCTAGCGCTCTACCACTTGAGCCATAGTGCCACTTCCAGCTTTTTTCTTTTTGCTTATGTGGTGCTGGGGAATTGAACCCAGGGCCTCAGGCATGCAAGGCAGTGCTCTACCACTGAGCCACCTTCCCAGCTCCGGCAAGTAGGATTTTTAATTTATTTAAGTAGTTTCCAAGTACTTGAGACATAATGGTAAGAACACACAAGATGAAGGAAACCATCATGTTGGTACATCTGAGTCCTGGGGTAGAAGTCTAGGTAGAACTACCCTGGGTAGTATGCAAGTGAATGTAAATATATTAACTGAAAAGCTGTAGATTCAAGGAAGAACTCAAATAGTGTAATCCCTTAGGAAGGCAAAGGCAAAAAATAAATACCAAGCTGGGCACCAGTGGCTCACACCTGTAATCCTAGCTACTCAGGAAGCTGAGATCTGAGGATCATGGTTCAAAGCCAGCCAGGGCAGGAAACTGCGTGAGACTCTTATCTCCAATAAACCACTAGAAAACCAGAAGTAGTGCTGTGGCTAAAGTGGTAGAGCACTTGCCTTGAGCTGAAAAGCTGAGGGACAGCGCCCAGGCCGAGTTCAAGCCCCATAACTAACAAAAAAATAAATAAATAAACAGCAGGAAATGTGTACTTAAAAGTGGTGGGGTAAGGTGAAGGAGAGACGGGTAGACCAATGAAGAGATGATGAGGAGGGAGAATGCAGTCAAGAATTCAATGTATAGCCTACAAAATTAAGAAAAGTGAAGCCATGCACTGGTGGCTCATGCCTGTAATCCTAGCTACTCAGGAGGCTGAAATCGGAGTTTCTCAGTTCAAAGCCAGTCCAGGCAGGAAAATCTGTGAGACTCTCATATCCACTTAACCACCAGAAAACCAGAAGTGGAACTATGGCTCACAGTGGGAGAGTGCTATCCTTGAGTGAAAGATCTTGTTTAGGGACAGCAGCTAGGCCCTGAGTTAAAGCCCCACAACTGGCACACAAAAAAAATAAAATTAAATTAGAAAGTCCAGACTTACCAATCTGGTTTGACTTGAGAAATAGAGAAAGTTCAGTTTCCTCCATTTGATTTGCGTTTCCAAGTCTTTGCAGTAGTTGGCAATGCACCCTGAGTACTTAAGAGAGGGACTTGGCAGATGGACATAGAAAAGGACTACTCGAAGCTGTGGGCATTGATTAAATAGTTACATGAGAAGGCATAGGCAGAAAAGAAAGTCCAAAGAGAACATTTCTAGAAGTCGTGTCAGAAAACAAATAATAAGTGAAGCTATCCTGTGAGTGTCCTAGATTCCAAGGCAAGAATGTGAAGCTGCAGGGATTTGTACAAAGAATGGCAGCAGAGAAGCTATGTCTCAGTGTTCAGAGGTCAGGAAGTAGAAATTACCCTTTGTCCCTGGACAAAGGGTAAGGGAGAGTTAAGAAAAAGGGTAATGGCTGACTCTAAAATTGTGTTAGAAGTTATACTTCTTTGTATGACTTACATTAAAATTATTCCTTTGGAATTAGTTTGCAACATTTCAAAATTAGAAGATCACACATTTAAAAGTTCTTACTGGGCTCATGTTCTCATGTTAAATAGCAGTACTTTAGCCAACTATGGCTTTATGCAGATGGTTTTTCGGAGAAGACTGACAGAGTCCAGAATGAGAGGGCATATTGCAGAGGTCAGTGTATGAGATAGTCCTGAACTCAGTTATGAAAAATGAGAGACCTTGTGGGGAAAAAAAACAAGTGATAGAACATAATGACAAATTGCAGACTGAGGAATTAGTGGTGTACTTAGTTCAAAATAAAGAACAGATGTAATTTACACAGAAATAATAGTGAGGAGACTGAGAATACATAATATTTTCATGAAGAAAAGTAAAATGAGAATCATAGTGGAGGCCTGAGCTTTGTAGGGAGCTCCAGTTGGAGAAAGGAGAGGAAAGAGAACTTGAAGGAAGGAAGAAGTGTAAATTGGGGAAAGCTAAACTTATTTTTACTCTCATTAAACTTTTCTGGAAGAAGATAAGCTAATAAAACATAATATGCACTAAGGACTTTCAAATCATATTACAAGGCTGGGAAACTTTCAAACACAAGCTACTTATTTCCTGATGTCTACTTTCCAGGTGAAAGATTGCTTGATTTAATTTCTCTGTACAATTTTTCCCTTTCAGGTCTTGGCATGGTCACACCTATCAATGACCTTCATGGTGCAGATACATCCTCCTATGTGAAAGGAGAAAAACTTACTCGTTGTAAACTTGCCAGTCTGTACAGAATTGCAGATTTGTTTGGATGGGCGCACCTGGCAAATACATATATTTCAGTGAGTTCTTTAGCTTCTCATTTCTTACTAAAATCCCAACTAAATGACAAATGTGCGCTTACCTTTACTTGGAAGTTCAGTTTTCAGACTTCATTCCTTGAATCAAGCATCCAGGATCATTGCTAATTTTCGTCTTGTCTCCAAGAAAGAGGCTACAATTGCCCCAACTTTCTACTCCCCTTACAGTCTGTGTTGTTCTTGTGATATAGAACAGTTGTAAGACCTATATTGAAAGAAATCTATAGCAAAATTGTCTCTCTCCATGTTAAACATTTCTGAGCCACAGTGCATTAAAAAGCATTTGGGGCAAGAAAAATAAGAGGATCAGGAAAACTTCCTCCCTGGTCTTAAATCTTTTAAATATGCTTTTTCTGTTTACCATTTTGTTTTTGCCTTTCCACACTTGGATCCAAGACACTATTTAAAATGAAAAAGTATTAAAATACTATGTGATGATAGCTGGTATGATAGACTAGCAGTCTTCCTTTATTTCCCATTTCTTAAGTTTCCTTTACATCTCCACCCTAATACCTTCCTAGGAAGAATTTTGTTTTCTTTCCTGACAATCGCCATTAATTTCATTGCCAAATTGGATTGACTGATATTGGCCTTTGTTTTTCATGAATGTAGCTGATCCTACAGCAGCCTTAAAATCCTAAAATAACACTAAGTAAGTATAATAGATGGGAAATACATCAAAAATTTTGAGTAAGTACTTAGGAGTTAGTGGAAACTTTTAAGGACAGATTCGTGTTGTAGATCTGGAATTTTTCCTTGGTTGTTTTTTCCCAAATGCCCTATAATCATTCATAATATATTTATAGTCACACTTATGTTGCAAATAGGAATGTTTTAAAGTAAATTCCTATTGTTTTTTCTTTCTTCTAGGTAAGAATAAGTAAAGAACAAGACCACATTATAATAATTCCCAGAGGCCTATCTTTTTCTGAAGCCACAGCCTCCAATTTGGTATAATTTTCATTCCTATATTACGTTCCCTGAGCCTCGCTTGTGTTTTTCTGACAGGTTTTTTGTTTTTTTTGTTGTTGTTTTTTTTGGTCAGTCGTGGGGCTTGAACTCAGCCTTTGCTCAAAGCCAGCACTCTACCACTTGGAGCCACAGCTCCACTTCTGGTTTTTGAGTGGTTAATTTGCGATAAGAGTCTCACAGGGACTTTCCTGCCTGGGCTGGCTTTGAACTATGATCCTCAGATCTCAGCCTCCTGAATAGCTGGGATTACAGTTGTAAGCCACCAGTGCCCAGCTTCAGTTTTCAGCTTTTAGCACAGGATGGAACAAGGAAAAAAAAATACATGGAAAAAACATATACTAAGAAAAATGATTAGGTTTAGGAAATAATATTTATTTTTAAGAAAACTTAGGGTTCAAGAAAAATAAGATGGGCGGGGCGCTAGTGGCTCACGCCTATAATCCTAGCTACTCAGGAGGCTGAGATCTGAGGATTGCAGTTCAAAGCTAGCCCAGGCAGGAAAGTCTGTGAGACTCTTACCTTCAATAAACCATTCAGAAAACTGGAAGTGGTGCTGTTGCTCAAGTGGTAGAGTGCTCACCTTGAGATGAAGAGCTGAGGGATAGTGAGTGCCCAGGTCCAGAGTTCAAGACCCATGACTGACCAGAAAAAAAAAGAAAAGAAAAGAAAAATATGATGGTTGAAGAGTCTAATAAATGATTTGAAATTGTCAGTTAATTTGTTCATGTTTTGATTTTGTTTTGTTATTTTTGTTTATTGGGATTTCTGTTTTAGTACTGGGGTTTACACTTAGGGCTTCATTTTGCACTGGTTATTTTGGAGATGGAGTCTGAATCTCATGGATGTTTCTGCTCAGGCTGACCTCAAACCATGATCTTCTAGGTAACAGCCTTCTCAGCTAGAGTTAGAGGCATGAGCCACCAGTACCTGGCTTCCTATTCATGTTTTGAAAAGAGCTTTTTGAATTATGTCCACTCTGTACGCACTAAAACATTTTTTAAAACATGCATATACCATCTATGTGTATTTTGTAGTTATCATTTAGTTGGTACGAGCACAGAATCTGAGCTAGCATTTTCTTTTTTGCATAACTATTCCTAGCCACTGTCATGTCATAAAATAGTTGGAGAGACATTGTTCTGGTTGCTTCATTGTTAGCTAGTGAAAGTTTTCTAGTCACTTCAACAAGTGCCAGTATACTTGTCCACACCTCCAGTGAAGCGCTTACATTATTCTGTTCCTTAGAAACTACTTCTTGCTAAGTATTTTTAGTGTATATTTCCTATTTTATAAATAGTTTTATAGGATTAAAGCTATACCTTTTATCTTACAAATTGATTTTGGCTGCCTTTGTACTATAGTGGTAAATTGGGTAGTTGTGTTTAAAATATTTACTATCTGGCCTTTTACACAAAAACTTTACCATTCTGTGGATTGGCTTGTAGAACCCAAAAAAACATTGACACGTGTGAACCAATTGAGTATGTTTTTGATTTTTCCAGGTGAAAGTCAACATAATAGGAGAAGTGGTTGACCAGGGAAGTACTAATTTGAAAGTTGACCATACAGGATTCAGTCCCCATGCTGCAATCTATTCAACGCGTCCGGATGTTAAATGTGTGATACACATCCACACCCTTGCTACAGCAGCTGTAAGTCCACAGAGGACCAGAACCAATCAATAAAGATTCTGGAAAATACTGTTTTTGTGGCATTTATTTGCATTCCTTTAGATTTGCCATTCAAAATTGTTTGAAATTTGCTGCATACCCAAAAAGTACAATAGCTTTGGGGATCAAATGCTACCATTCTCGGAAACAACTGGAAAAACAGCATTTTTAGAGCAAAGTTTTTGTTTTTATAATATTTGGCACAGCATTTGTTGCATCCCCTAAGTTTTGTTTTTGTTTTTGTTTTTCTTGGAATAAGTGAAGAACTTAAAAGTGGGAGGTGTGCTGCAATGTTGAATATGATTAACCAGGGCAGTGCTCCCTAAGTTGTGTAAAGAATCAGCTTCCTATAAAAGTCTGTGCAATAGCTAAATGTGTTATCTGTGGTATGTACCTAATCAAATAGGTGTCCTCGATGAAGTGTGGAATCCTCCCAATTTCTCAGGAATCCCTTATTCTGGGAGATGTGGCTTATTATGACTACCAAGGGTCACTTGATGAGCAGGAGGAGAGAATTCAACTGCAGAAAGTTCTGGGTCCAAGTTGTAAGGTAGGTAGTAAATTTACTACCCTAAGGAGTTAATTTTTGTTGCTGCTACTGGTGATGAATACAGTATGAGAGCTATGCCAGTTATGTAAAGTGACTGCCCTGGGGATTCTATTTTAGGTGCTGGTACTCAGAAATCATGGAGTAGTAGCACTTGGAGAAACAGTTGAAGAAGCTTTTCATTATATTTTTTGTGTACAGATGGCCTGTGAGATTCAGGTAGGAGAAATGATTCTCCCTTTCTTACCGCTTTATTATTTGCTTATTTAGTTGGATTTTGTGTTTATTTCCAAAGCTCTATTATCAGTAACATTTTGTTTTAAAAGTACTTTACCCAAGTAAAAAAGGGACATGAACTTAGTCACGTATGGAATTGAAAATAAGAAAATGTACATTGCATTACACACACACACACACACACACACACACACACACACACACACACACGAAACCTTATAAATGTAATTTTCCCACTAATCTTACTTTCTCCATTTCTCCATTTTCTCACTCTAGTACTGGTACTAATAGATAAAAACAGCTGCAAATCATGAAAAGACATGTGTTGTAGCCATTTTTTTAAGCTAGGATTAATTTCATAAGTATTTGATTTTGTTTTTATGCTGATCCTAGAGCTTGAACTCGGGGCCTGAGTGCTGTCCTGCACTTTTCTGCTCAAGGCTAGTACTCTACCATTTGAACCAAGCTTCACTTCTGTACTTTCTTTGGTGATATAAGAGTCTCAAACACTTTTCCTGCTTCAGACCATGATCCTCAGATATCAGCCTCCTGAGTAGCTAGGATTACAGGCATGAGCCAATGTGCCCAGCTAATATCATAAGTTTTTTGAACTCATAGAGTTCCCAACAATTCCTTAGTATTTTTATTATAATAGCTTGGATGTTTATTTTTATTTTTTTCTCAGAGAAGGTGAGGGTATATAGACCCTAATTTCCCTCTTAAAATCAAGCAGATTCTCTTGAAACAAATACTAATTTATTTGAAAGAGCACAGCAAAAAACCTTTTTTAGCAGTTTTAGGTTTTTTTTGTTTTTGTTTTAGTTTTTTGTTTTTCCTAGACAGGGTCTCACTATATAGCTAGGCTGGCCTTGCCTTTGCTTCCTGAGTGTTAGAATTACAAGCCTGAACCACAATACCCAGCCTCTTTCTACGAACTTTAACTTAGTTAGCTTCTTCTTTCTGATAATGGTTCTTTTTTTCAAATGAGACTATGGAAAGCTTAATTAACACAATAAACTGTAACATCTGCCAAAATGTTCTTAAATTTAAAGCGCAATATCTCTATTCCTTTCAAATTATACCTTTCAATAAAGGCTTTAAATAGATATCCATAGAAATCTTCAAGAAAAGAACTTTGAAATTTGGGGAGTGACTCAGTTGTTTGAAATATGTTAAGGTATGGCTCTATCTGAATATGTTTTCCAGCAAGAGAATCAGAATTTTAGAAAGCAACTTTTTTACATTCAGGAAAAAGACACTTGGCTGCCAATTTGCACAGTAGTGTTACTTTGTTTTAGTTGATAGTAGACAGAACAAGCATTATGGGTATTTGCCAAATGGAGATTGTGCCTTTTTGACAGTTAAGTACTCATGACAGTCTTTATTATTTTGAATCTTTATTATATGTTTTACCATTGGTTACAGGTACGGGCAATAGCAGGAGCAGGTGGAATAGATAATCTTCTTATATTGGATCTTCAGAAGTATAAAGCTTGCACTCATAATATCGCAGCAACTGGAGGAGGAGGTGTTAATATGGGTTCCCATCAGAAGTGGAAGGTTGGCGAGATTGAGTTTGAAGGACTGATGAGGACTTTGGACAATTTGGTAGGTAAAAAATTAACCATAAACTTAAGTTATATGTCTTCAGATTCAAGAGATGTCACTTCTGTCTCCTTTTGGTTTTAGAACATGCTCCTTACTCTTTCAAAACTAGAGCTTGACTCGAGCAAGGTATTTTGATATAATTTAAACACTTTTTTAGGAAGGTAATGTTTCTGATCAGAAATGTAGAAATCAGGAGCTGGGAAGGTGGCTCAGTGGTAGAGTGCTTGCCTTGCATGCATGAGGCCCTTAGTTCAATTCCTCAGCACCACATAAGCAGAAAAAGCCTGAAGTGATGCTGTGGCTCAAGTGGTGGAGCTCTAGCTTTAAGCTGAAAAGCTGAAGGACAGCCCCCAGGCCCAGAGTTCAGGCCCCATGATCAACAACAACAACAAAAATAGAAATCACTTTTGTCAGGGACAGTAAATAGTGTGATTAGAAGCTGCAGTACCATCTGAAGTCAGTTTTACTTAGATCTTGAAATTTGCTTAATTTCAAATTCAGTATTATGTGGAGGTTATATCAGGTGTAAGAGAATGTTTTCACCTTTGTTTTTCAATGAAAACATCATTTTAATCATTTGTTTAAAGAAATAGACTTCAAATGCTGTACAGGTTTAATAGCTTTGAATGTCGTTTCTCCCTCCCTTAGGGGTACAGAACAGGCTATGCTTATAGGCATCCTCTCATTCGAGAGAAGCCCAGACACAAAAGTGATGTGGAAATCCCAGCAACTGTGACTGCTTTTTCCTTTGAAGATGATACAGTACCACTGTCTCCTCTCAAATACATGGCACAGAGACAGCAGCGTGAAAAAACGAGATGGCTGAATTCCCCAAATACTTACATGAAAGTGAATGTGCCTGAGGAGTCTCGGAATGGGGAAACAAGTCCCAGGACCAAAATCACAGTATGCCACTATTTTACATCATTTGCTATTTCTAAATATTTTGCCTGGTTCCTCATGAACTGAATATTCTGTGTTTCAGTTATTGGGGAAGAAGAATATAATATTGGTATCATTTACAAGGTTCTAAACCCACTGTGTTTTATCCTCTGTTTAAAGTGTTATACATGAATTAGATTACTTAATTCTCATAACATAAAATAGATGTTATTTTCTCCCTACTTTACCAATGAGAAAACAGGCAGGAGAGCTAACTAATCTTTTTTGATGATAGAGTCAGACTTTGAATGCCAGTAGTCTAACTCAAGCTTTGCTCTTGTTTACTACATGATATTAAAATATAGCTTATTGCAGCAGTGAATTAGAACTGTTAAAACTACCAATATGAAGTTGTGCCAAACAAGATCTTATATGTAGAGATGAAACAGGTTATTTTATCTTCTTTAGAATTGTTTCACATTTGTTTGGTTTTAGAGAACTATATATACCAAGTGTTCTCTAAGTATTCAAAATTAGTTATTCAAAATCAGTAACACCAGTGGAAATTCCTTAGGCATCAAAATGTTTTTCCTTAGTCTAAATGTTAATCTTCTCTAAGGGTTGTAATGTGGAGTAAGTAAGTTACAAAAAATAGGCTAGAAAACTGTCTCTCTGATACAGTTGAATCCTTTTCATTGACTTCTTAGCCATCATTTGATGTAATTCAATGCAGGAAGCAGAACTCTGGATTTGAGTGCATACAGATCAGGCTGTATTTGAAATAGTTTCCTCATCATACTTTCAGTTATCAAGAGGAAAAAGTTTAACAGTGTGACTGAGTATACAAGTGAACTGTAACTGCATTTGATAATTTTTAAGTGAATGCTTTTATAATGCATTTTCTAACAAGTGTGAGATACAAAATGACCACTAATATATTGTTTAGTGAGATTCTTTGAAAGATTGACAATATATGTCCCCCTGGAGATTATACTTGCTCAATACCTAATCATCTTCCTTGATGCAGAGCTTCATTCTAATAAATGTTTTATTCTTTAGTGGATGAAAGCAGAGGACTCCTCTAAAGTTAGTAGTGGAACACCTATCAAAATTGAAGATCCCAATCAGTTTGTTCCTTTAAATACAAACCCAAATGAGGTTCTAGAAAAGAGAAATAAGGTAAGGCAAAGTCTCTGTAGCCAAATGAGACATTTTATTCTCTTGCATGTTTAAATCACTAGTGATGAAATACGATTACAAACAAGCTTAGTTTGAATACAGAAAAACTTAATTCAGTAATATTAGTTTATATCAAATAATTCCAGCCCTGTCCTTGGTGAACAAGCTACATGTCCTGGTATTACTAACAGTGTAAGACAACAGAAAATTACATACCAGGAAGAATAGGGATTAATGAGAGTGTTACAGATGGTGAAAGGGGTCTTTATAAAGGTGGAAGTTGATTAGACTCTTACTTGGAAGTGTCAAATAATAAGCTTTCAGTCAAAAAGGAGGCAAGTTATCTATACAGTTGTACCCAAGAACTTGTTACTGTGTTTCAATTCAGATTCGGGAACAAAACAGGTATGACTTGAAAACAGCAGGACCACAGTCTCAGTTGCTTGCCGGAATTGTTGTGGATAAACCTCCTTCTGTAAGTCTGAAGCAACATCATCTTTTTTATCTGCCACATAACTTTTCTTTCCTTTTAAATAGGAATTTTTTTATTTTAAAATTAAAATGAATTAATAATCCAAGTGCCAGACTAGCAAGCTTGAGGTCCCAATTCAAACCCTAGTACCACCAAAAATAAATAAATAAATAAATAGTCCACAAAACTTCAAATAACACCCTCAAATTCTAGGGGTAAGAACTTTCCACTCTTTAAATTGCTTCTAGTAATTAAAAAATGCTTCTGCCAATTGTCTTCATGTTTCTATATCTTTATGAGATAGGAATGCATACTTGTAATCTCAGCTACTTTGGAGGCTAAAGCAAGAGGACTGCAAATTTGAGGCCAGCCAGGGCTACATAATAAATCTTGTTATGTAGAGTTATATTTCCAACCAGGTGTAACTCAAATGATAGAAGTACTATTGTGAGGTTCTGAATTAAAGCCCCAGTACAGTCTCTCTCTCTCTCTCTCACATACACACACACACACACACACAGCATTTTCTTGTTATTTATCAATTTCAGACCTCATCATTATCATTACTTTATATATCACTAAAGGAAAAACACTGCAAGTTATATTGTAGGAAACTAAATTATGAGTTGATTTCTAATTTCAGAGAAGAGAAAATACAAGGAAGAGTTTATTTAAAATTAAATAATAGCTGGGCGTTAATGGCTCACACCTGTAATCTTAGGTACTCAGGAGGCTGAGATCTAAGGATTGCAGTTCAAAGCCAGCCTGGGCAATCTCCAATTAACCACCAAAAACCAGAAGTGACGCTGTGGCTCAAGTGGTAGAGCGCTTACCTTGAGCTGAAGAATGCAGGGACAGTTCCCAGGCCCAGAGATCCACAACTGAACCAAAAAAAAAAAATTTGTGGGTGTGTGGAAATAATTTTCCCGTGAAATATGAAGTGTATTATACTCTTGTCTTCTGACTGTTAAGTATTTCTCTCTTTTTTGGTCATGGATCTTATCTCTGGGCCTGAGCTCTCTCCCTCAGCTCTTCGGCTCAAGGCTAGCATTCTACTACTTGAGCCACAGTGCCACTTCCAGTTTTCTGGTGGTTTATTGGAGATAAGAGTCTCACAGATTTTCCTGCCCAGGCTGGCTATGAACCATGAACCTCAGATCTCAGCCTCCTGAGTAGCTAGAATTACAGGCGTGAGCCATGGGCACCCTGCCTGACTGTATTTCTAAGAGGAAAGTTTATAATCTACGTTCCTACACTGAAAAAATAATCAGATACTATGTGCCAATCTATGGCTTCAACCCCTAGTACTTCAGGAAAAAGAGAAAGAGGGGAGAGAGATTAAATAATGATCTATCTCAAAGTTACAGAAAAATAAAAAACCAGCCCTAAAACTAGTAGAAGGAAGGTAAAAGCTGTAATTAAAACTAATATATGGGCTGGGAAGGTGGCTCAGTGGTAGAGCGCTTGCCTTGCATGCATGAGGCCCTGGGTTCGATTCCTCAGCACCACATAAGCAGAAAAAGAAAAAACCGGAAGTGATGCTATGGCTCAAGTGGTAGCACGCTAGCCTTGAGCTGAATTGCTGAGGGACAGTGCCCAGGCCCAGAGTTCAGACCCCATGACTGGACCTACACACATATATATATTATACTAATATATTTATATAGATATGATCAGTAAAATAAAGAATTGTTCTTTGGAAGTAAGATCAACAAACCCTTAACAAAACTAAAAGAGAGCAAAGACCCAAATTAGTAAAAGATAAAAAGGGAATAATACAGTAGATACCAATGAAATTCAGATCATTGAACAATATGTTGAAAAATCATATTCCAATAAATTAAAATCTTGGGGGAAATGGATAAATTTCTAGATACATATGATCTATCAAAATTGAATCAAGAAGACAACAATATACAACAAGTCAAAAGTAGTGATAAACTGCCATCAAAGAAAACATACTGGGTAGATTCACTGCTGAATTGTATAAGATATTTAAAGAAGAATAATACCTCAGTACCTCAATAATTCCTCAAACTATTTTATAAAAAATAGAAAAGAAACAGTTTCGCTCTTTCTACAAAGCTACTAATTGAGATCCCAGCATGTCCATGTTTATTACAGCACTTTTCTTTATAGCCAAGTCATAAGATCAGATTAGGTCCCCCTAAATAAGTAAATAAATAAATGAAGAATATGTGGTATAAAAATGAAAATGCGGGGCACTGGTGGCTCACACCTGTAATCCTAGCTACTCAGGAGGCTGAGATTGGAACATCACAGTTCGAAGCCAGCCTTGGCAGGAAAGTCCATGTGACATTTATCTCCATTAAACTACTCAGAAAAAGCTGGAAGTAGTGCTGTGACTCAGTGATAGAGCACTAGCCTTGAGCAAAGAAGCTCAGGGACAGAGCCCAGGACTGGGGAAAAAAAATGATACTATGAGAATAGATGGAACTTCATGAAGATCATTTATAATGTTAAGTGAAATAAACCTTCCCATATAAGGAAGAATGTAAGATCATGAAAAATTAAAGTAGACAGGAACTATTAGGAAAATGTGTTATATGCATGCACAAAAGTGTCATTCACAACCATCATTTTATACAATTGATTTATGCTGATAAAAATTTGTGTTTCTTTATTATCATTTAAGTGGAGTTTGGGGAAGGATAAAAAATACATAAATTCTGGGCTGGGAAGGTGGCTTAGTGGTAGAGTGCTTGCCTTGCATGAGGCCCTGGTTCGATTCCTCAGCACCACATAAGCAGAAAAAAATGAAGTGGTGCAGTGGCTGAAGTGATACAGCTCTCTCCTTGAGCTGAAGAGCTGAGGGACAACCCCCAGGCCCAGAGTTCAGGCCCCATGACTGACACACACTCACAAAAAGGTAGATAGAACATAAATTCTATCTACCAAGTATAACAAAGTCTCATTAATATATTTTCTATTTTATTTTCAAAATGAATTTAAAGATGTTCTTTTAATGCAGTTTTGATTTGTTTCTAAGTCTTACAAAGGTTGGTGAAGTGAAGCAGTTCTTGGTTTTTCAATATATTTCTTATGTGAAGTTTATTAGAGCTTATCTTACTTTTTTAAAGTTATAAACAGCTACACACTGGTTGGCTCACACCTATACTCCTAACTACTTAGGAGACTGAGATCTGAGGATCATGGTTCAAAGCCAGGCCAGGCCCGAAAGTCCATGTGACTTACCTCCAATTAACCACCAGAAAACCAGAAGTGGAGCTGTGGCTCAAAGTGGTAGATCACTAGCCTTGAGCAAAAAAGAGTCAGAAACAGTTCCCAGGCTCTGAGTTCAAGCTCTACCACCACCACCACCAACAAAAAAGTTAATAGACTGGGAATGTAGATCACTTATTGAATAGAAGGCCCTGGGATTCACAGTACCACAGAAAATAATAAAATCTTCATATTCATCTTTATAGAGAAATTAGCAATTTTAATTCATTGGATCTGTAGATTCCAAGAGTGTTAAATCTGAGTATTTAAACAAAGAATGTTGTTTTGTCATTTCTTATAATTGCTTTGAAGTAGGGAGTCACAAACATGTAAACATGTAAACATATATATATATATATATATATATATATATATATATGTTTCTCTGTATCTGTATTTGCATGGATGAATGGATGCATGGATGGGCAAATGGGTAGAAAACTGGATAATGAATCTAGTTTTTTCTTTGTAAGACTATGCACTTTGAAGATGATGATCATGGCCCACCAGCTCCTCCTAACCCATTCAGTCATCTCACAGAAGGAGAACTTGAAGAATATAAGAAGACAATCGAAAGGAAACAGCAAGGTCTGGAAGGTTAGTTAATTATTAGATTAACTCTGGGATAACCACATTAGAACACCTCAAGTTGGATGATAAAAGGCATTCATGAGGTTTTTTTTTTTTTTGTTTGTTTGTTTTTTTGGCATTCATGAGTTTTAAACTACCTTTTTATACTTGTTCTATTTCATCACCAAATGCAAGTCAGGCTGAAATGCAAAGAGCTACCACATAACAGGGAGAGAAAAATTCAAAAAGCAGTTTAAATGCTGGCTATTTCTAAAATGAAAACCCTAAACCAGGTGCTGGTAGTTCATGCCTGTAATCCTAGCAACTCAAAGCCAGGCCAGGCAGAAAAGTTCATGAGACTTATCTCCAGTTAACCACCAGAAAACGGAAGTGGAGATGTGGCTCAAAGTAGTAGAGTGCTAGCCTTGAATGTAAAAAACTCACGGATAGCACCCAGGCCCTGAGTTCAAGCCCCACAACAAGACAGAAAAGGGGGGGGGGGGAGGGAGGGAGGGAGGTCCAGATGAGCAAAGAAGTACTAGCCAAACTAGATACATATGTACTAATAGATTTAAACATTTCATGATATGTAGCTTCTTCCAGACATGTTATTTTGAAATTGTCATGGATTCACAAGTGTGATTTTAACATGAAAAAAAAAATCTTCATCCCTTGTATCTTCAGGTACCAACCAGTATGTTCATTTCAAAGTCAACATTTAAAACAAACTTTCAGAATTTTGATTTGACTTTTCTTAAGCATGTGCATTCTAATGCAGTTGAGTTGTTATGACTTTGGAACTCTTAATAAGTAGTTTATTAGTATTTTAGTTAAGGATTGTTCATAAAGAACTAGACTTAGTGGCACATATTTGTAACCCCTGCACCTGGCAAGACAATCACAAATTCAAGACCAGAGTAGGCTATTTAACAAGATGCTGAATTTTTTTAAACCGTCTTGTTAATAAAATGTCCTTGCTAATTGGATACTAATTGGAAACTTTGAATACGTTTCAGACAGTCCATGAATCACCTGAAAAATATAGATGAATTGTATATGATATACATGTGGAAATGAATGGCTTTAGAGACCCTAAAAGAAGGTGCGAGCTTCTGCTTTAGTTCATCTGCAACATACAGTTAGAATTTTTACACAAAATAAAGCAGAAGCCATTAAAGAACTTTTATCCATGCTGGGTGCCAGTGGCTCACACCTGTAATCCTAGCTACTCAGGAGGCTGAGATCTGAGGATCACGATTCAAAACCAGCCCAGGCAGGAAAGTCTGTGAGACTCCAGAAACCAGAAGTGGCATTGTGGCTCAAGTGGTAGAGCGCTTGCCTTGAGCTGAAGAGCTGAGGGACAGCGCCCAGGCCCAGAGTTCAAGCCCCACCACTGACCAAAAAAGAATTTTTATCCATGTGTTAGTGCCTTTGTCACAAAAACAAGTCATCTTAACAAATTAATGTACTTACACTAAATGTTCTGAGTTGCTTATTGAACTTTTCTGACATAATTAGGAAGTTTTCTGTGTTACTTGGTGTTTTGTTAAATGTCCCTTTTTATTTTTACTTTTTGTAAGCCTAATGATGCCAGGTAAAACAAATATTGTATTCTAGAACTATCTTCTTTTTTATATAATTTTAAGTAGTTTCTTTTTATGTTTACTGACCTCCTGAATTAACTCACTAATATTGCTCTAACAGCAGTTATTAATTTGGTATTTTCAAAACTTTAGCGAACCATTCTGCCTTGTTAATATGGCAGCATTGATGAGGCTTCAGAATTCTCTTTGTTGGATTGCTCAGTCGATTTTGGTTTCCTAACACTAGCTAAATACACACAAAGAATTTGCCTGGACTGCCAACAGCTGTGTTTCCTTTTTAACCCTGTATGTATATAATGACTGTTAACAGCCAGAGTCTTAATACACTAATCTCCTTTTGATGTATAATTATTGGTCTATGTAATAATTATTAGCATGCTCAGATCCTAGCTGAGGAATTTATCATCTCTGTATATAGTCATTTGATATATTCACTAACCTCCCTGAAATCTCATGCTTCTTTGTTTTGCATGGCTTATAACTAAACTCTTATCCTACAGACGCTGAGCAGGAATTACTCTCAGATGACGCTTCATCTGTTTCACAAATTCATTCTCAAACTCAGTCACCGCAAAATGCCCCTGAAAAATTTGAAGGTATTCAATGAAATTTTTGTCAAGTTCAGTGTTTTTGAGAGCCTGCCCCATTATTTGTATTTATATAAGACACTAAATGATTGCTCACAGTAAGCATACCATGGATTTTACTAAACCTTTTAGTAATTTTACATTTTATTAATGTGGTGCTACTTTTGCTCAACATGTATAGATTTACTTTAATCTGGATTTCATCAACCAATAGTTCTTTAAAATTAGTATTTAATTAGTTGTACGAAGAGGTTGAAATTCAACCTGACAGTTATGAGTACAATGCATATTCTATAGTTCATAAGAATTTGTGGAATTAAAATTAATGGGTTATGACATGCATATTTCAATCAGGAGCATGAAATTGTTTTCAGTTTTGATTGTCAAATGAGCCCAAAACGAAACAAAAGTATATATTATCTTTTCTTACTTATAGTGACTTGGTTTACAATGAAACTGTCATACCATCAAACCAGAATTATCTAGCCTTGACTTTTAGACATAGAAACTTTGTTTTCTTCTCCTTGATATCATTTAAGAAAGGTAGCTTCATGCTGATAGATTCAGTTTATTGAAATAATGATTTCATTAGAATAAAAGCAATGCCTTAGTACATTGCTAATAAACCTTTTTGTTTTTAAAATTAGCAAAAAACGTTAACCAAGTAAAATAACCACCCCCCCCCTCCAAAAAAAAAAATACCTCCCCTTTTGTAGAAAACCATGAGCTGTTTTCCAAGAGCTTCATCTCCATGGATGTACCTGTCATGGTAGTAAACGGCAAGGATGACCTACATGATGTTGACGATGAGCTTGCTAAGCGAGTGAGTAGATTAACTACAAGCACGACCATAGAGAACATCGAAATTACCATTAAGTCACCAGAGAAGATTGAGGAAGTTCTGTCACCCGATGGTTCACCATCAAAATCACCATCCAAGAAAAAGAAGAAATTCCGCACTCCTTCTTTTCTGAAAAAGAACAAAAAAAAGGAGAAAGTTGAAGCCTAAAGTTTTTTTGTAATTATTATTTTACAATGTGACATTGCACATTTAAATACAACATTTAAGTTGATCATTAATATACAGTGGTAGATCAGATTTGGGGTATGTAGCAAACTGGACTTCAAGAACTGGAAAGAGGTTTTACTAAAAGAAAAACATGAAAAAAACTTTCAAATTCATCTCTTTTTATATTTCCAAAATGGCTTTGAATTTTAAAGCATTTTCTAGTTTTAGTTAGCTCTATCCTCATAAAGTATAATATAGTTCACCACTAACAGATATCTGTCTGAATTACTTCAGGCCTTCTCCATAATAACTGCTGGAAAGAAATTGCCAATGAACAACTGAGAATTATTATTTCTCAACACCTGCTTCACTTGGTAATCAGATTATAATTTTTTACCATGATTTTTGACTGTATCCCGTGGGTCCCCATTGTTTTAATGGGTTATTAACAGAATGCTTTAAAAGCATTTAAGTCAAGAATCTATAGCATTAGTGTACACTGGCACATAATTTTTTAAAAAGTTTTAAGAAAAGATTCGTTTGGAATTTTATTCATAGTATAAAATTCCCTCACCTGAATTAACTTTATTTGCCAAGAAAAGTCATTTAATAAACTATAATTTTTGAGAACTTCCTTTTTTAATTAGTTTAGAAAGCCCCTTATTTTTCAAAGAGGGGATTTTGTACACATAACATAGGTTATTTAGTTTAACTCTGGCAAAAACAACTTTTGTATGTTGAGATGTTTGTATACCATTCAGTATAAAAGTGTTATGTGCATATTAGCCAATCATTAAAGAGTAGAGCATATTTGACGCTGCTTGGTACTGAGCATACTTCAATAGAATTCAAGAATCCAGGGATTTAGTATCAAAAGGGCATATCTAGCTTAATATTTGGACCTTACAATGTATTTTTCTCTTAGTATTGCTAATGAATGAAGAACATCTCATAATGAAAAGGAAAAGAATGAAAGGGAAAGAGAGTAATTAAGGCAACAAAAGATGAGATGTGAGAAGAATTCTAGTTTGATACAATAGGATATGTAGTGTGACTTACTGAAAGCACATCCCAGATTTCTAAAATCCTGCTTATCTGCCAAAACTAGTGCTTTAGTTGTTATTTGAGTTTCAAGAGGGTCACCTCCTTCTATTTGTGTATTTTTACAAGTCAGCACTAAAAAAAAAAAATCAGAATGTCAATCCCACCAAGTGAGAAAACTACCACTTCTTGATTCTTATGAAGTTTTCTTTTTCTTTTAACTTTTTTCCTAATGTAAATACAAATTTAAACCTAGACTTAAAATAGTTATTTTCCCTTTTCCCAAGTGATGTCATAAATCAATGTAAAATCGATGATCCGAAATGGTCAGTGGGTAAATCCAAAGTGTTCTGGACAGTGAGTTGGCATGCAAAACTTACATTAATTGTAGTGTATTCCAGGCTGGGTCTGTTTGACTGTGTACATATGATGCAGAGTTGAAACAGATCCTGGAAACGTCGGTCTAGATCTCACTAACTACTGCAATCTGTGTTTTATTCTCTTAGTGGAAACTTTCAGTTGCTTAACTGTGTATTTGAGGATTGCTTTGTATTGTACATCATTTATGTTGTATTACAATGTATGAAGAAACAGTAACCTGTGAACTATGCTTTTCCATAACTTTTAAAATATATATATATCTTAAATGAATGCAATGTGCATAAATATTTTTTAAATGCAACAGTAAACTATTGCACCTTTTGCTAATGCCTCTATTTACTTGCTTTGGCATAATGAATGAGCCAATGAACCTTTGTGTCCTGTGGAAAAAGAAATGTATAAATGTTATCAGATATTGCTCTTAGATGTTATGCTAATTAATGTTAAATCACAAATAAACAGTATTTTAAATATACGAAATTGGTATCTGATAGTTTCCATTTTGGAGAGGTTCCTTAGCCTATGCTTTGTTTTATATCTCAACTAGATGAAATGTACATCTTATACATGAGTAAGATTAATGTACTAAACAAGGGATATTTTTATAAATGTGTTCTCAAGTTAAAATCATATTTTTAAAATTTTAATCATTAACATATAGAATATATAGGTGTGTAATGAAACTTTTCTTGTTCAGTTCATACTGGAAGAAATGCTTTCTAATAGAACTATTTTTGTCTTGATAGGGTATGAGCTTCCGATGAAGATATTGAACTGAGGTTTTTTTTGTTTTGTTTTGTTTTGTTTTGGGGGGCGGGGGGTCCAGTCATGGGCCTGAACTCTGGGCCTGGGCGCTGTCCCTCAGCTCTTCAGCTCAAGGCTAGCGGTCTACCACTTGAGTCACAGTGCCACTTCCTGCTTTTTTCTTTTTGCTTATGTGGTGCTGAGGAATCGAACCCAGGGCCTTAAGCATGCAAAGCAAGCACTCTACCACTGAGCCACCTTCCCAGCCCATGAACTGAGTTTTTATATTGTCCCCTCATTAAGTTTCAGTTTAGTAATACAAATTATAATAGAATCAGAAACCGTTCACCATTCCACCACATTAACATTTCAAGTATTTCATTCTCTTTTAACTCTTGCCTGATTATTTATGTATTTTCTATACATTGATTGTCATGGTGTGAATGCAATTTATATTCTATTGTTTATGCTTAAAATAAGTCAGGGAATTTTCAAACTAACTCCCTCACATGAATAATTTCTTGTGATTTTTTTCATTTTGTCCTAAAAATAGATTGTTAGAGTACAAGAGAAGGAAATCGTGTTAATTGAGGGTTCTGGTTAGTCAACTAAAGTTACCTATTACAGAAATAAAGGACCTGGGCAGAGAAGAATAGATTCATAGTTTTGGGCACCATTCATTGTTACCTTGGCTTGTAAATAAGCCTGTGGTTGAAAAAAAATTGTTGTGTCAGAAAGATGCTCATGTGAAAATCCAGTTCTCTAAAGCAACAATGACCCTTTTCCTCAGTTTCTCACTTGAGAGTTAATATAGCTTGAAAAGTAGCTGCTGTTACCTTTTTCTTTATAGATCAGTATTGTCATTCAACAGGAAATAGAACTAAATGTACAAAATTATGACAGCATCTATTTCTTTTAACACTGGCTCCCCTTTTTTAAACATAGGCTGAAAACACATAAAAGCAATGTGGTTAATTTTTTTAACTCAGAGGTGGTATGTGTGTGTGTGTGTGTGTGTGTGTATGTGTGTGTGTGTGTGTGTGTGTGTGTGTATAAACTGGAATTTTATGAAATGTCTTTTAGCCACTAGAGGGCATGAGAGACTAACAATCCAATGTGCTTCCAGTACTTGTATTCATTTCTTAGACTGTTGGGACCATTTTTGTGAAAGAACCAGAACATGGAAGACATTTCATTTGTTGCTTAGTCTCCTCACTGTGGATTTTTCTCCTCTTTGTGGTTCTAGTGGGTCCCATTTCACAATACAAATATCACCTGAATGACTGCCAAAGTACCTCTGGAGAAAGAACACACTGAAAATTGTGGTTTCAGAAACTGATAGACTTAAATTGTGGTTTCAGAAACTGATAGACTTGAGTCCACAGAAGTTTCATGTCTGAGAGTGGTAATAAAAGGCCTCCTTGACTTCTTTTTGACTAAGGAACTAGTTGGTAATGACAATCTTTTTTGATGGTTTCTGTAGCAGAGATTATGCTAAATACTTCTCACCTAAGTACTCTCATATATTACTCATTTGGCATCCCCATCATCCCAACAGAGTGTCCCCATTTTGTAAATGATGCAACTAAAGTTTATAGAAGCTGGAAAGGGAAGTGCTGGTGTTCTTCCCATAGATTCAAAATTACTAGTACCAATCTATACTAGTCTTGGTATGGTTCCAGTATATGGTTTGGGGTTTTTGGGAGGAGAGAGGGTGGTTAACTTTAGGCAGAAGCAATTCCCTGAGTTTATCTAGCCATGGTGAACTGACATTTTCATATGAGTATATCTGGGATAAAGCATTGGCTGATTTGAAAGAATTTCCCCCAACAAATCACATGAAGAAGTTGAGAAGCCATGATAAGCTATGGTGACAAAAAGTCTTTTTGGTTGGAGAACCAGCTCTTGACTGTACCATGCATCTGGAGAGCAAGGTATTTGTGCCCTTGCTTATGAGACAGAAGAAGCTCTTTGTCTTTTTGACTTCCCATATTAGAAGCAAGGGAGACATTCAAAGGGAAGTTTTTAAAGCCTGAAAAGGCAGCCATTTCACCTGTCCAGTCATACAAGTAGTTTTAAAGTTAAAAATTGACTGGAGCTACCTTTTTTAAATGAATGTAATCAGAGTAGTTGTTCTTGGAGAAAAACCAAATGTATAGGCTAGAATAAGCAGAACAAGAATAAGTTTGGAGTAACTTCAAGTAGAAAAAAATTATAAACATTTACCAAAAGGGTTTCATTTCTAAGAAATGACCATTAGGGGGCAATAGTGGATGCAGTTTAATTTTAGTTAATTGAGGGAACTTCAGAATATCAGAGTTTGGATTTAGAGCTTTATTCTGATTACCCATTGTTAGGTACAGTCTAAAGTTGACAGTTGAATGTCATTGATTTGTTCTTCATTACTGGGGTTTGATCGTGGGGCCTTGCACTTGCTAGGCAGGAGCTACATTTTCATTGTATGCTACTGCATCCAGAGTGCCTTGAAGATAGGGTCTCAAGGACTTGGTTGGCCTGGAACCCTGATCCCTGTATTCTCAGCCTCCCAAATACCCTAGGATGTCAGGTATGCAGCCCTATACCTAGGATTGAGAAGGGATCTTGAAAACTTTCCTGTGATACTCCATTCTTAGCCTCCCAAGTAGATAAGATTAAACTATGAGCCATTGGCACCCATTTAGATACTAAATTATTTTATTTGGTCCTTACAGCAAAGTTATCTTGTTCCCACTTGTAAAGAATCTTTCAGAAAGGATGACTTGACCAACAGTCAGTTGGAGCTGAGCCAGAATTCAAGCATCATACACTTTTCTATTGTACTATTGTTTCTCTTGAAAATCCACTATATCAGAACCCTAGGAATAAGTAAATACACAGTTTTCTAAATATTAGTTTTCCTGCAAATGAACACTTTGAACTTTACAATGAGAAGATAGAAGAGAAACTCATTGCAAGAATAAGACAATGTTATTTTTAATAATTGTTAGACTTTCCATAAGAGTCTTTTGAATATTCTCTCAAGTTAATCATGATGGTGATTTCTGTACTCTTGTAACAAAATTTTTAAATGACAAAGTGGCACATTTTGGTATTCTAGTTCCAAAAAGGAAATCTTGTACCTGGCAGGAAAATAGATTTTGTGTGTGTGTGTGTGTGTGTGTGTGTGTGTGTGTGTGTGTGTGTGTACCATCCACTTTTTTTGTTGTTGTTGTTGGTCATAGGGCTTGAACTCTGGGCCTGGGCGCTCTCCCTCAGCTCTTCAGCTCAAGGCGAGCACTCTACCACTTGAGCAACAGTACCACTTCTGGTTTTCTGGTGGTTTAATGGAGATAAAGAGTTTTATGGCTTTTCCTGCTGGAGCTGGAGCTAGCTTTGAACCGAGTTCCTCAGATCTCAGCCTCCTGAGTAGCTAGGATTACAGGCGTGAGCAACAAGGCCCAGTTATCCACAATTATTTTTAAGGCCTATATAATTTCTGAATAAGTCTTAATACTGAAGCTGCAGTAAAGGTAATTAAGACAGTTTTTGCTTCTAGGTTTTCTTCCTAGATTTTGCATTCTTCAGAGCCAGCCTTGACTTTGCTCATAGTGGTAGGAAAATCCCTTCTTTTTAGTCCCAAATAATGAAATGTCACTAGGCAGAATACTATGCCTTAAAATCAGTGTTGGTTCTAGTTATTGAACTGGATATATGCTGGTGAATACTAAATTTCAATGAAATCATTCTATGATTTGTTAAAATGGTTTTTGAAATGGCATCATTAAACTCTGCCCCTCAAAAGGCCAATAAAGCCAGTAAATATGTGAGTCATATGGAAATTTAAAATACATACATACACTTTGGAGTGTTAACAGTTGAATTTCTTGGACCAGTGTCCCTCAGCTTGATAACGTGATTTTTTTTTTTTTTTTTTTTGTCTTGGGGCTTGAACTCTATGCCTGGGCACTGTCCTTGAGCTCTTCAGCTCAAGGCTCTCTACCACTTGTGCCATTTCCGGCCTTTTCTGTTTATGTGGTGCTGAGGATCAAACCCAGGGCCTCATGCATGAGGGGCAAGCACTCTACCACTGGGCCACCGTCCCAGCCCCGTTAATGTGAAATTTTTAAGAAAAAAAAATCCCACATTTCCCAAAGCACTTGTAACAGATACCCTGACAGATGGGGATGGAAATGAGGAGGGGATATGTTATAAAATACAGGAGTTAAGAGGTAGGCTCTGAGGATTTCCCTTGGGTACTCTTAATTATCTTTTCTGGCTTTAAGAAAGAAAGAAAAAAAAGTAGTGACAGTCCCCAGCCTGGAGCTACAGTACTGCCAGGCCCTATTCGTGACCTGCCAGTCAAGCATTCTTAGTTGAAATAGGAGCATTTTCCTTTCTAGTTGGTAAGGATCTGAACTACTTTTTTCCTACAGCAATCGTTTCTGAAGGTTCTCACCAAGCAGGAGCTATGGAGGAAGTAGTTGTTGCACGCAATAACTCACCCTTTTCCTGTTGAGTAATGCAGGGGAGGGGGGACTGCCGTGTGACTGGCATGCTAGACTTTGACTTCAGAATAGATGGCCGCCCCAGTTTTATAAGAGAACATGTGGATGCAGACAACTCGTTGGCAAGCACAGGAGAACTCTTCCAAAGGTGTTTACTAGACTAACAAGTAAGGTTAAACATTACTTCCTACGTGGTTTCTATTTTGGAAGGGCTGGCTTCAATAGTTTCAACTGCAGTGAAGGTCAT